GGGGGGGGTAGACTCGCTTTCGAGATGGGGGAGTCCAGGTCCCCAAAGCCTGCCGTCTCCCGGTCTGGGGCCCCGGGAGGGGCTGAAGGGAGGCATCAAGGGCTCCCAGCCTCAGAGTCCCATTCAGTTCTCAGAGGGGTGGCTGTCCAGAGGGGTGGGTGGGGAATAGGGGCTTCCTGCCTCATTTGGCACCAAGGGGATCCGGGGGTTCAGGGGAGCCCTCCGGGGGGCTGGGGGGCGGGGGACCGGGGCCTCCCATTTGGCACATGGTGGGGGGCGGGGAGGGCCCTGCCTCGGGTACCTCCCCGGAGGCGGAGTCTGGGGGGGTGGCAGTGGCTCCTTCGTCCACAGAGGTTTCTAGTCTCAACCCCTCTTCGGGGGGTGCTGGGGGGTCGGGTCTTCGGGGCGTCAGTTCTCCACGGGGCCTGAGGGCAGAGGAAGCAGAGAGAGAAAGGGAATTAGGGTGGATGGGCTCCGAGTTCCAGGGAGGCCTTCCAAGGGGCGCACAGAACCGGTCCCTCTCCCTGTCCCTCCCCTTCACTCTCAACCCTGGGCTGCGCCCTAGTTCATCCTGGGAAACCTTGTGTAACTCAGACCTCCCTGCTTTGGTCACATGGTCTCCCTGTGCCCCCTCTGATGAATTTCAGGCTTTTTCAAAGCGCTGCGGCTGGGTCTGCTTAAGCCTCTCCACCAACGGCCATCTGTGTTTTGGGGGTTATTGCCCCAGCGTCTAGCATCCAGTGACCGTCTCCCCAGCAAAAATCCCTCCCAGAACATCCTCCCCTCTGCCTCCACTTCCAGGGAAACGAAACCCCCTCCCATTTCTCAGATCCAGACGGCCAAGCAGTATTGAAGTTCCTCACAGCACAGCCTGGGTCTGTCTAATCATTTCCACCCTGCGCCTGACCTGGAGCCTGTTTCCAGCTGCTTAGGTGGGGATTCCACGTTAGGCTGCTAGGCCGGCAGTTTGAAACCACCAGCTGCGCCACAGCAGAAAGATGAGGCTTTCTACTCCCATAAAGAGGTACAGTCTCAGAAGTCCCCCAGGGCAGTTCTAGGTGCCTGTCCCATACGGTGATTGTGAGTCGGTATCCATTCAGTGGACATGAGTTTGCGTCCTTGAGAGGGGCCACTGCCCCCTGTGGTTTTCTCAACTGCCCTCCTTAAGGAAGCAGGGTGCTCGAGGAAAGGCTGAGTGGGTTTGAACTGCTGTCCCTTAGACTAGCAGCGGGGCCCTCAACCTTTGTGTCCGTGGGGTCTCTCTTGGGCTCATACCAAGAGGAGGGGTCTTCCCACCTCCAAACTCAAACAAAAACCACTGCTACCAAATGGATTCCGACTCACAGCACACCCCATATGGGTTTTCTAGACAGTAACTTTTCACGGAAGCAGACAGCCTGGGGGGCCAATTTCTAACCCACAGCCACCACCAGGGATAGCTGGCACCTGATAAAGGAGCCCACTACAAGGTCCTAGGTTCAAGCCCACCTTCCACTCTCTGGGAGAAAGAGGAGGCTGTGGGCTGCGCCTATAAAGATTGACAGCAGGGGTGGGAAATCTTTTTTTTCCCCTGCCAAGGGCATTTGGATATTTATAACATTGTTCTCGAGCCAAATCTAATGATCAGCTTAAAAAGTAGCCTGCTATATGTGGTCACAGAAGCCCTGGGAAAAAAAAAAATCAGTCATTGAAAACCCTGTGGCGTGCACGACCCCTGGTGGTGTAGTGGATTATGGGGTGGGCTGCTCACTGCCAGGTTCAACAGTCCCGAACCACCGGCCTTCCCGAGGGAAAAAGACGAGGCTTTCTACTCGTGTAAGTATGGTAGTCTTGGAAACCCACAGGGGCAGTGCTACCTGGTCCTGCAGGGTCGCTAAGCTAGGAGTCTGAATAGACCCCAGGGTGGTGAAGAGATGTGCAGTGTCACCCGCTGGGCTCTCTGCCTCCTGGTGACTAAGGGCAAAGTCATGTTTGCTCCTGGCTTGTCCTGCCAGCCTTGGCAGTGACTCATCGGCTTGGCCAGGGTCCCTGTGCCCTGGAACACCCACAAGGCTCTGTCCTCATGGGGCCTGGAGATAGGGAAGGTTCCCCAAGCCCTCAGACCCCTCATTCTCCTCTGCCTGGACCCCTGGTCCAGTTCTTCCTGGGCCACAAAGGTCCCAAAGGGGTCTTTCCTCCCCCCAGTGACTGTCCCCCCACCCCCTACTTACGGCCCGTCCATGGCTCCTGAGTGCCCCTTGGGATAAAGTTCCAAGTCCCAGCCCACATTCAAGCCGTCCATGACTATTCCTGTCTATTTTCGTCCCCAACCTCAAGGTGACTCCCTCTATTCCTTGACTTGGCCCAGGTCTTGCCTGCCTCGGGCCTTCTGTGCAAGCTGTCCCCTTTGCTCCCGGGGTGCAGGTGGGAGAGGTGGGAAAGCCCCTCCTCTTGGTATCTGCTTCCTCTGCAGCCCCCAGTTAACAAATACACATTTATTGTGGGACTTGCAGGCTCTGGGTGTGGCGTTGGGGCTGAGGAGGAAGCTGGGTTGGACTCATTGGTGTTGCCCATGCCCAGCACAGTGCTGCCTAGTGGACACTCAACAAACATCTTCAAAAAAACAAACCAACTCATGCTCTCTGTCAATTCTGACTCCTAGCGATCTTATCTATGGACAAAGCAGAACTGCCCCTGTGGGTTTCTGAGGCTGTAAGTATTGATGGGAGCAGCCAGCCTCATTTAGGCTCTCACGGAGTGGCTGGTGGGTTCGAACTGCTGACCTTGTGGTTAGCAGTCCCTCACTATGCCAGCAGGGCTCCTGCAAGAAGCATCTAGTGCTTAATGAACCCCAAGGAGACTGGATGGGGGTGGGGGTGGGGTGGTCAAGTGGTTTGCCACTGGCTGCGAACCTAAAGGTGGGTGATTGGCGTTCACCCGGCGGTGCCTTAGAAGACAGGCCTGGTGGTTTGTAGCCATAAATATTACAGATCTAGTCTTGTGGAGGTGTCCTACCTTAACACTTGAGTGGGCAAGTTATCGTGTGTGTTGCAAATAGTTGATGCGCTTGGCTGCTAATGGAAAGGGTGGTGGTTTGACATGCCTCAGAAGGCCTGGTGTCCTACGTCTGAAAAAAATCAGTCCTTGAAAGTCCTGTGGAGTACACGTCTCCCCTGACATACGTGGGGGTCCACAAGGCAGAATCAAAGGCAATGAACCCCTAAAACCTCACGGCCATCGAATCGGTTCCCACGATAAGCGACTCCATAGGACAGGGTAGAGCTGCCCCCGTGGGTCTCCGAGGCTGTACATTAGGACAGGAGCAGAATGTCTCAGCCTTCTTCCTCAAAGCAGCCATAGGGTTTGAACTGCTGACCTGGCAGTTCACAGCCCAACTTGTGACCCGCTCTGCCACTGAGGCTCCTTCAACAACCGGTCCCAGTTCATTCGGTGTCACAACAGCCGATGGCGGTTAGAGATCAGGGAAGGCAGTCTTTTCACTCCGTCCACAATCTTGGGTGTTGTCTCCATAAAATTCACTGCTATCAAGTCAACTGGCCCTTCCAGAGACCTGAAGGACAGTGTAGAGCGGGCCCTGGGGATTTCCGAGGCTGTCAATCATCACCCGGGTGTTGCAAGCTTCCTCTTTGCAAGCCTCATCTTTCTCCCTTGGAGTGGCTTGGTGGTTTCGTCCCGCTGACCTGGCGACGCACGCCACCAGGGCTCCCGCGTTTCAGTGCGATCCTCATTCTACTGGGGAGGAAACTTGAAGCGCAGAGAGGAATAGTGCCTCGATGGAGACGTGTCGGGCCGACACCCCGAACTGAAATCGGGTTTGAGGGAGCAGGAAGGGAACCGGCTCCCACCCACCTCCTGCGCCACCAGGCGCCCACTGGGTCTTGCGGTGTTCCCTGGATGGCCAGCGGGGCGCATCAGAGAGCACGGCTGGGACGCCTTCCGAACCCTGCAGGCTCCGTGCCCCCTCTGAGGCTGGCACAGCCTGAAAAGGGGGAGAAGTGATCCTCTCCCCAGGCGGCCGTGAGGATTAGCCACACATCAGAGACAGGAAAAGCGGTGGACAAATGGAGCCCCACGGGGAGACACAGGCTCCACGGCCCCGCAAGCCGGGGTGAGAATTCTGAATCCCCACTCCCCTGGGGTGACTTCTCCGTGCCTTAAGATCTCTTTTGCATGGGGTCTTAAAGGCTTGAAGGTAAACAAGTGGCCATCTCGCTGAGAAGCAACAAAGCCCACGTGGAAAAAGCACACCAGCCTGTGTGATCAGGAGGTGCAGGTGGGATCAGGTATCAGGCATCAAAGACCCAAAACAAAACCAAAAAATCATATCGATGTGAATGAGGGGGAGGGCAGAGTAGAGACCCAAAGCCCATCAGTAGTCAATTAGACATCCCCTTACGGAAGGGTCACAAGGGATTGACGAGCCAGTCAGGGTGCAGTATAGCACCGATGAAACACACAGCTTTCCTCTAGTTCTTTAATGCTCCTCCACCCCCCACCCCACCACCACTATCATGACCCTAATTTAACCTTACAACTCTGGCTAGACCAGAACATGTACACGGGTACAGATAAGAGCTGGAAACACACGGTATCCAGGACAGATAAACCCCTCAGGACCAATAATGAGAGTAGTGATTAGGAGGGTAAGGAAAAGGGGGTGGGGAGGGTTGTAAGGGGGAACCTATCACAATGATCAACCCCAGGGGGATGGAGAACAGAAAAGTGGGTGAAGGGAAACAGCGGTCAGTGTTAAGACATGAAAAAAATAAAAATGTATCAATGATCATGAGGGAGAGAGAAAAAAAATGAGGAGCTGATATCAAGGGCTCAAGTAGAAAAATCAACCTCGGTAGGGAGAACGGCGCCATTGGGGTTTCTGAGAGGGTCCAACATTGCCTCGAAAGCCAACTGCCCTCCTTTGGCTTCCTCGAAGGCAGTTGTTGGTGGGTTTGGCGGCCAACCTTCTGATTAGAGTCTGAGCACTTCATTGCTGCGCCACCAGGGCTCCGGTGGTTAGGAGGTCCGGCCAGGTCGATTTGGGCAGACCCCGCGGTACTGCCCAGAACTGCTCCACTGGGCTTCCTGTGGAACCTGTGTGTCCCCAGGCGAGCGCTTCACCACTGCATCACCAGGCTTGCTCTCGGGATCCCTCCTCAAAACCAAACCCGCTGCCGGTCCAGGTGATTCCAACTTGTAGCAAGCCTACAAGGTAGCACGTTGAACCGCCCCATAGTGTTTCCAAGGTGGCCATTCTGACTGATGCTGGCAGCCTCCTCTTTCAGCTCCTCTTCCACGGGGTGCTGACTCCTCCGGGCACCCCCTGCTCAACCGAACGAACCACTGCCCAG